CATTTAAATTGTCTTCAACCCAAGATATGCTTAGAAAAGTGCGCTTTCAAATCCCTTTCTTCATGTGACATATTCACCTTGTCCGCCCCTGTGGCATAGACCACGCCCATTGGGGGTGGTGACAGGGCCGGGCATGACCTGGGGGAACCAAGTCTGATCTGAGGAGAGGTCTGGGACAGCTCTCTTGCTTGCAGCACCGGGACAGGAGACCCGGAGGCATCCTTGGGACCAGGAACCTGCTGGTGTTCATCTGTCTATGTTGTGAGTTACTTCTCCCTGAATAAACATCTATTCGGCCTATTTGTTCCTCCTGATCCTTATTAAACATCAATACTTTCTTGCTCTTACTTATGAGTAACTTCTTTTTATTAATTTTTTACATTCCAATCCCAGTTCCCCTCCCTCCTCTCTCTCCTGCTACTACCCCCACTCTCCTCTCTCCTCCTTCCTCCCATCTGCTCCTTGGAGAGGGTAAGGCCTCCCCTAGGAAGTCTAATAAGTCTGTCCCATTATCTCGTTGAGGCAGGACCAAGGCACCTCTACACCCCCCACCCCCCTGTGTCTAGGCTGGGCAAGGTATCTCTCCATATAAAATGGGCTCCACTAAGTCAGTTTGTGCATTAGTGTTAGATCTTGGGCCCACTGCCAATGACCTCATATATTGTCCTAGTTTGTCACCTATATTAAGGGAGTTTAGTTTGGTCTTATGCAGATTCCCCACTTGTCAAACCTGAGTCAGTGATCTCTGGCTGGCTCAGGCCAGCTGATTCTGTGAGTAACTTTTAATTCATTGAATTGCTTCCCACAGTGCAATCTGAATCCACTGACTTCACTGGGGTCCTGTTTTGAGTTATTTTTTACTTTATTTACCTGCTAAACTGTGACCAGATCAGATTTTTATGTTTGGTAATATTTGGGTGCCATTCATTTTAGTCATTGCTTAGGATCATTTTTATCTGTAGATCCAGCTAGTTGCCTCCTGTTCCTGTTAGTTCCTATTTACCGCTGTTTCCTTGACCTTTTTCTGTTTGCAGAATGACTTCAGTTTCGTCTGTCTGTCTGTTTGCCTTTCTTTTCTTTCTCCAGACATCCTCTTAGCCTTTTGTTCATCCTGTGTATTTCTCTCTCTTTTTTTTTTTTTAGTAATTTATTTTGTTATTTCTTCTTTTAATTGAAAATAGGTATTTTTTCCTTAATTAATACAATCCTGATTATGGCTTCCCTCCCTCTACTCCTGGTTCTTCCCCACATCCCTTTCCATTGTCTGGGTCCACCCTCTTTCTGTCTCTCATTAGAAAACAAACAGACTTCTACGGGGTAATGATAAATACAATAAGGTAAACTTCTTTCCTGAAGAACCATGCTGTTCCGTGTTAGCATCACTTTAATTACTGAATCCTAATTCTGATGTCATTAATAGTCTTAACTAGGTCAATTCCATTGTCTCCAAACTTGTCTCAGCTCTCCAAAGACACCATCTTCCTTCCTCCCTCCCTCCCTTCGTTCCTTCTTTCCTTCTTCCCTCCCTCCTTCTCTCCCTCCCTCCATCCCCTCCCCTCTCTCTTTCTTGTTGTTTTGTTTGTTTTCAAGCCAGGGTTTCTTTGTGTAGCCTTGGCTGTCTTGGAACTAGCTCTGAAGCCCAGGCTGGCCTTGAACTCACGGAGATCTGCCTGCCCCTGCCTCCCGAGTGCTGGGATTAAAGGCGTGCACCACCATTGCCCAGAATCAACATTTTCTTAAGTTTTGTGAAAACGCTTGGATTCTAGAGCTACCTCTCTTATTCTAAATGGCTTTTCTATTTTCTTTGTGTATATGGATTTTATTTCCACAAAGGGAATAAGTTTGAGATTTTACACACACACACACACACACACACACACACACTTTGGCTTTCTTTTATTTGTATGAGTTCTAATCTTTGCCAGTAGATTATTAGTGCCAACTATATTTGGTTCACACTCAAATTCGCCATTTAAAATTAACTGTGCTGCAATTTTGTTTGGTTTAAACCTGTGCTGGTGTTGCGTTGATTCAACTTCAACAACTAAAGATCACTCTTGTTAATGTTTTTGGTTGTGCTTTAACCAACACAGAATAACAGGAACACTCAGTGGCATGCTATTTGAAGTCAATATATCATCCAAGCTTTTCATGTTTCCCATATCTTTATAATGTCTTACACTAGTCTGCTCAGATTTCCTTCGCCTCTCCCATGGAACCGATTCCATAGGTCACTTACCAATGACTTCTTTCAAACAGTACATTTGAGTGGAATCATATCACTTGTGCTTCGGTCAAGGCTCTTTTCCCCTCATGGCGTCTGATGCTTTACCAGTGCGGAGTGCAGGGATCTCAGTACCTCTGTACCCAGCCTGAAGGGTGCATGAATCTGCAGCCCTTCTGGCTTGGAGCTCATTCATACAGCATCACACCTTAGCCCAGGCTAAAGAGACCTTTTCTTTCAAGTGCTTTTCTGGTCATATATCACTTATGGGATCTATAGATAGGAAGTTCTAGAAGTTTCCCCTAATTTGGTTCCTGGATCATAAATCTGAATTGTACTTCATTCAGCATAAGTCAAAGCAAATGTTGCAGTGGTTCACAATACTTGTTCTCCTACTGATATGAAAGGGGAAAATGAGAGGAAAATTAGTTTTTCTACTCTTATATTATTGTTATTTTCAGTCATCTTTTTTTTCATTTTAGTATAGTTATTGTATTGGTGGTGCCTTTAAAATGTATGGTCTTGGGGTTTACTACACTGTTTAGGAAATTTCTGAAAATGTGCTTCAGTGGAGATGAAATAAATTTGTCTTAGGTCATAGTTAATCTTACACTCCAGGAATAAAGAATACACAGGGTCAAACTTTGAAAAGAATTTAAAATTCCTTTTGTAAAGCATTACAAACAAAGCAGGTAATCCAACGTTTAATGCCTGGTTAGGATGAGATGTAAAAATCATTTGAATTGCTACAGATATTTGAAATGCTTTTGTTGCGGAGCAGTTTCTGCCCAATTGAAACAGTCTATACTCAAGAGAGGTTCCCTAAGATTCAGGAAGTAACTGAAACTTACAAGTCTCAGGAAGTTCCCAGAACTAACACAATTCACAAGGCTCCTCTTCATGGTTACATGAGCGCTCCCACCAGCCAAGCTGCCCACAAGCCATACAGGGAGCTGGAGGGATGTAGCTTTCATGAACCGTCATCCATGCTAGGATGGGTTTTCCAGTGATGCAGTTGCTTTGGGTTGTCCATTCTCCTGTAGATAACCCCTCACCCATACTCTGGTAGGTAGCCCCAATAAACTCAGTGCTTCACTAAATTGAATTTCAACCTGTCATTGGTTCACTATCTGAGGTGAATTGTCCCAATCTGCCAGGAAAAGTCACACAACACCTTTTTTTTTTTTTTTTTTTTTTAAACACAAGGGACTCCAAATTTATAGATAGATAACAATAACACTAAATTCAAAATTTGTTCCTGGGATACATTTAATTCTTTATCCCTTGTTTTCTTTGTTTTGACAGTTTTTCAGTGTATTCATAATGCAATAAGACTGACATGAATGGGCCTTTGATCATGAACAAGTTACCCGGAAAATGTCGCATTAAATTAAAATAAGACTAGCATTAATACTGATGAAGACATTGCAGTTAGATGCACAGGGAGGGAGGGGACGAGGAAGAGAAGGAAGGAGGAAAAAAGGTGGGTACAGGAGGGAGGAGGAAAGGAGGGAGGGTGTATGTCAGAGACTAACAGAGGGCCTGAAACTTGGATTGAATTTACTTCTGAGTAGATTGTGTTTTAATAAGTGTGCCATTTCAGCACCATCCCATGGGGGCATTTGAACACATCACTGAGCTGCCAGACTTTTGGCTCAAGTGTCAGCATCTACTCGTAAAACATCTTGGACAAGAAAACAAAGCACTTTGAGTCAAGGATCTAAACAGCGTCCTCATGTTTCTTTTTCCAGGCACCAGGGCTTGGCTTCAGACCATTATCCACACTAGACTGCCTTCATTGAACAGAGTGGATGGTCATCTGCAGATGCTGGCTTCTTATACTGCCTTTTGCCAGTCAAAGCTGAAGCCTATTGCTGCTCAACAAAAGAGCTTTAGGCTCTTTGAACTTTTGACTTACAAAGGCTAGTTTTGCCTTAAAATCTAGTCTTCCAGTTTAGATAATATGCAGTTTATTTTTATTTTTTAATGATTTTTTTTTAATTTTATGTATGTGGGTGTTTTGCCTGCATGTATTTTTATGTCTCATGTGTATGCCTGGTCCCCTTGTAGGTCAGGAGAAGGAGCTGGGTCCCCCCAAAACAGGAATTACAGGATGTAAGCCACCATGTGGGTGCTGGGAATTGTACCTGGTCCTCTGGAAGAACAGCCAGTGCTCTTTTAACTATTATTTCTCCAGCTCAGCTAAGCAGTTTTTATTTTAATATAATAGCAGGGGATTTAAAATCACAAGAAGGGATTACAAGTTTCAGTCATTTAGAATATCTAGGTTTACAGGTTCATTAAAGTTCTCTTAATTGATGAGACTGTTCTTTTTAAATTAATAATTAATTCATTAGTTTTTGGTGTTCAGATTGAACCCAGAGCCTTGCCCATTCTTGACAAGTGTTCTACCACTGAGTTACCTACCCAGCCCAAGGGATTGCTGTTTCAATTCTTGTCTATAACTGGGTGGTCATTACAATCCTAATGAACACATTCAAGTTCACATAGTTTGTTAATATAATGTTATAAAGTTGAAATACATAAGTATATATAGAGTTATATAAAATTTCCTTACACATACAGAAATTTCAGAATCCATATAGGAATCATAACTTGTGCCTCCAACTTTGATGTCTCTGAGCTCCAGATCTGTGTTTCTATGTGTGTGTGTGTTCTTTCCTTTGTTAATACAAATTAATTTTCCCCTAAATATAATGAATTTTATTTCTTTTTAAATGACATGAGACTTTGTTTGTTTTGTTTTTAGGTGGTTTGGACAACTCAGTAGTGGCCTGTCCTTTCCTGGTCCAGTCTGACTGGTGCGAGATGGACTAAAGCCACAAATCGTCTGGTTCTTGGTCTGGGAGTTGGAAAGAGGATTGGGATGGTCTCACGTGCACATCCCTAGAGTAATTGCAGAGATGAGTTCAGACGAGAAGGGCATATCACCTGCTCATAAAACATCCACTCCGACCCATAGAAGTGCCTCCTCATCAACATCCTCTCAGAGGGAAAGCAGGCAGGTAGGAGAAGATTCTCAGTTTTATCATTTTCTGCAAACAGAACCCTGTTTGTTTGTATAGCGTGGAATTGCTAACTAAATCTGAAAGTTTGTTGCGAAGTCCTTTATGTCACAGGTCACCCCCTTGTTTGGTGAGCTATGCCCGATAGTGTGAAGCTTTACACTGGCTTCTCTTTTTGCAGGGGGAGGGGTCTTCAGGGTACAGATCACAGAATGGAGCAGGGTTCCTCTGAGAAGCCTGGTGTTCTCACCGTGGATACCTGGCTATTGAGCCAGTATCGGGACTGTGATGCTCAGTCCTTCTTCTTCAGCATGGTACAAAAGAACCCATGAACCCCCAGGAGAATTTTTGTAAGGTCAACAGTGCTCTATAAGTCCTAACCTCTGCAAGGTTCTGAGGGACCTAGTCACTGTCAGACTCAAGAGTTAGGAGGCAGATGAAACTGTAGTATCCTGGAACTTTGAGCAGCAAGGACTGAATAGTTTTCAAAGGCAACAGAGGAAGTACAGTGTCAGAGCTTATTTATGGTAGAATGCACCCATTGTTCTATTTGATCCACTTCTGTAAAGCAATTTTTTTGCAGTTAGTTGCCGCATTCGTATTTGGGGGACCACTCTGCTGGCGTGGCTATGTGGGGATTTATCATATAAATGCTGCCATAGACACAACAAGCGGTATTTCAGCCAGCACAGGCAGGAATAACAGTTTCCCATAGTATGTGTCTTATGATAGTAATTTGGTTGTGTAAGTGGAAATTTACAAGTCCGCTGTCAACTTTTTTATGGAAATTTTCCTTTGTGTGAGTTTTACTTAGTGAATAGTCTTGCAAGATCACTCACATCTCTGCCCCGCTCCCATTTTAGATGATCAGAGCATATTGCCTAATTTAAATGTGTTTATCAGTTTGGTGTTTGCTTCTCATGTAGTCTGACTGGCCTGGAACTGATTGTGTAGCCAAGCTGGTCTCAAGCTTTGAGCAATTCTCCTTTGTGAACCTCCGAGTGCTGCAATTGTAGGTGTCAGCCATGGTGCCAGGCTGTGCATTGGCTGTTAATAATTCATTGCGCGTGCACCTTTAAATGGATCTACAGCAGTGGGAATGCATTTCTGTGGGTGCTTTGGAGAGAACCCCCAACCTCGTGCCCTCCCAGCATACCCTTGCCACTTAGAGCAAGAAGTTCCAGGGCAGTCTGTACAAAGTGTTGGTTTCTTACATGTTTATTTTCTCAGATCCGAATGCAAAGATTCCTACTACAGGGTCTTGGGGAAGTTTTTAATGCTGGTGCCTTTTGTTGCAGTGTTCAAAAGGATACCCATACACTATCTCTCTCAGCAGTACCTCTGCTGTTAACTAATAACTAAATCTGATTACCCGATGTTGTAATATTTAACTCAATGCACTTGTAGATTTTCCGAGTCTCAGAGTGCTACCAAGGAAACACTTGGTGTTAAATAACTACCATATGCTGAGATGCCCCCTAAGTTGGCAAGCCTCCCCTTCACTTGCCCCTCTGTTCTTTCCCATTGTGGGTTCTCTATTTATCCTTTGCTCTGGGCATTTAAACTCAGGAATTGTGAGTTGCATAGCCTTCCTGGTTGCTAAGGAGCAGGAAGGCATTGACCCAGCTCACCCTGGAGACCTGTGGTAAATAAAAGGAAAAAAAAAAAAAAACCCTGATGATTGCTATAGAAACAGCTGTCATGCCTTGTTGATCTGCCTGCTGCACCTGAGCTCTAGGCCCCACACGCAAATGACAGGGACACTGGAGACCCCCACCTACTGCAGGCAACCTGAAGGTAGACTGGATGACTCCCAACTGGCTTGTGAGTGGAAGTCCTGTGATGGGAAACGGGTGTGTTAATTGATCATGAAATTTAAATACTAGATATTATGCAAGTACTATTTTGTTTGTATGTTTGCATGATTGTTTTGGGACAGTCTCACTATGTAGCACAGGCCTTCAGTCTCAACACTCAACACTGGAGACTGGGGCAGGCAGAACTCTATGAGTTCAAGACCAGCCTGGGCTTCATCATGAGCTCCAGGCTAGCCAAGGCTGTATGGCTATTAATTGTTTAAGGAAACAATTTATTTTTGTCCTATTGTATCTCAGCAGGTGAGGCTACTCCTAGAGACTTTCTCCTCTGCTTCCTTCTTGATATTTCTTTTGTGTCTGTCCATCTCTCTCAAAGAGGAGAAGAGTAATAAGAAATAAAGATCATCCATTTCCCCCCTCACCTCCATCACTACCTAAGACATGGAATAAATGTAGAGAAACTGGAAGCTTGGCACATATTGTGATGGGGTGTAGTACTTTTACATGCATCTCTATAGTACAAGGGCACAGAGAAAGTGTGATAAATTAGCCTGCATTCGATCTTCTCTTCCCCTGATTTGATGGGCATTTATACAGATATAGCTGGGATGCACACTTCAATTGCCTTTCTCCTAATCACGTAAGTGAAAGACCTAGAACACAGCAGAGAACGCAGTACTATTTTATTGCACCTCATTTACCTGCTGTTCATAGGTTCTAGGTGCACAGTGCTGATGAGCTCATTGAACACTTCTGCTTAGGTGTCCCACTCTCTGACTGACATAAAGCAATATGTGTATGCCAGTCTGTTGTCAGAGAACAATTCTTAGTGGCACAGGGTCTGTTCTGTGTCCTTCTCTTTGCCTTCATTTTAAGTCCCTGAATTAACTCTGTAGATCATATTCTTCCTCTGGAATATCATTTCCTTTTGTTCCCACTGTCAGCTGCCAAGCCCAGACTCTCATCACCTTCTCCCAGGTCCGTGTGAGGACCCTCCCCTCCCCAGTGTCTTCAGGGCATCATCATTTCAAATTCCCTGAATATGGCAGTCATGAAATCTTTCAAAGGCTTCCTGTTCCCTACACAAGTAACTAGCCAGATTTCCATATGGGTTGGGTGTCCGGTGAAGATGTAGCCTTGTCCAGTTCCTTTTCATAACATGTACATTGTGTGCTGTGATTCCTATGTCTGCCCCATCTGGATCGCTTCATTCCCTTCCCTGAGTGGAATCCTACCCTGACCTCCATCACCTCCACCTTCTAATGCTTCCTCGGTATCAAGAGTGGCTCATGTGAGGCTCTCAGTGGCCATTCAAAACCACGTTCCCTTCTCCTTTACTAATCTTGTCAAAGCGCTTTTGAACAACGTTTGGCATTTTTATACTGTTTACTTGGTCGATTTATGGGTTGATCTTCTACATTGTGTTGTAAACTTTTCTAAACAGAGGGTATTTTTGAAGGCTTACAATGCTATTAATCTTGTCTTTTTATTACGGATTTTTCCATGCTAGATTCATTTGCCCTCCCCTTTCTTCCTGGTGGATGAATAAGACAGAGAACATCTGTGTATAGTAGCACTTGGCAGTCTTTCCTGTCACTATGATGTAGCCACATAGCAGACAAAAGCAAAAGACAGAGGCATGATGTGGCATGGGGCCTGGCATTTCACTGAGTGTTCTTCACCCAGTGATGGGGTCAGGGGTTCACTTAGCCCTTAACAAGCTCGAAGGCTTCAGTAAATGCTTCACTGGAGGTATTACTTGACTCTGGTACAAGATGTTAGGACACCTAACATAACTGCCTGTGTGTGTGATTTGCCATACCTGACGGCTACACTACATAAACATGCCATGAAACTTCCAGAAGAGTAGCAAAGGAGTTGATTAGAGATTTAATGCTTTCTCATAAACCAACATTCCCCAAATAAAGCTTCAAGGGTGAAGTGTATGGAAATGAAAGTTTTCTTATTAAGGTAGTTGAAAGAAATGATGAACAACATTTCTTTGGTGGTATAATTGATTAAGATTACCATTAAGTTCTGAAGTAAAACCTCTGGTCAATCAAACACTTTTACAGTTTAGTAGATTCCAAAATTTTCCCCCCCTAATATTTGGCTATTAAAAATATCCATATTTTTCTTACATTCATAAATTGGAAGATGCAGGACACTGTGCCCAGATCCTTAATGGCAGCACTGACTGTCTCAGTAGTGGCTTCTAGTTTAGATGGGGACATTTTTCTACCTGATCAGCCACCCAGTCTTTGTCAATTATTCTAGTATTTATTTTATATGGACTGTCTGGCTCCTGAAAGATATGAATTTGTGAACTTTGATTTCGGATGTCAGTAGGCCTGTGACAGTAATATTTAACTTACTCAGGAAGATATACTTCGATGCTAATGGATCTAAAGGTATCCTATACCGAATTTATCATTCTCCTCTCAACACTGCCTCTTTCCAGTTTCCCTCTCAGTAAAAGACAATACTCCTTTTGAAGGGTGTATCCCAAGATCCCTGGAAATATCATTGGGTTCTCTTTGTCTCACATTTTGCTTCTGACCAACAGACACCCCTGTAGATTTTCCTTCACCTGACTTGATAGCCAGCTTCTACCCCTTCCATTCTGGTCTCTGCCACCATGGTTCCTCATCTGGAATGTTGCCATAGTTTTCTACTTGATCTTCCAGTTTCCACTCTCACCCGTCACACAGAGCACTCTTTACAGGATAATCAGAGTGTTTCCTTCAAAATTCAAGGTAGATTGAACTCTTCTCCATCAAGCCCTCCAGAACATCCACATGACATCGAGTTGCTGTGCATTGACTACTACGAGGCCCCTTATTATCTGTGTCTGCCTAATCCTCTGACCCCGTCTCTTACCACTTTGCATTTCTTTTGATTATCTGCAGTATATTCCTGACATGTTCCAGTTGTGTTCTTACTGTATTCTTTCTCGGAGGTTATTATGTACTTTAGTCTCCTTGGTCTAAGCTTTTCTCCAGCTATGTCTGACTTTCTTGCACACTTGACTTTTTTTGACTGTTCCCTCATTGGTTATTCTGTTTGGCCCTTCTCCACATGTCCTTATCATTCACTGTCCTTGTAGCTGGTTTCATTGTTCTTGAAACATCAATCACCATTTGGTGTGTTGGTTGTTGGTTATATATTTATCTTTTATATTGT